GGAAATATCATTGTGTGCATAAAAATTATCTGATGGTGTTCTGTGCCTATTGAACAATAACAAAAGGACAGGGCGTGTCCAAGAGTGGCTTCCTAGCATTTAGAAGGTGAATTACATAACCTGATGGCTTCAAACAGCCTTTGGTGTACCAGGTCACAGAGTTGATGTTTGCCTTTTAGGAGATGTGGTGTCAATGCTGCTGACATTGGATGTTCTTGCTTTGACAAAATATGAAGAGGCAGCCACTCTCTGTATAAGCTTTGTGGTACTTTTAGAGTTAAATTAGATGATGCTGGGAGGGGAGGAGAAAGAATGTGTGTGGGGTTTAGTTAAGATAAGAAAGGGCAGGCTACAGAATGGAAGGGAAACTTTGCTCTTCAAACTGATTGGAGAACGTGATTTATGACAGCTAATTGGAGGAGGGAATTGTGCTTGAATATTATGTGCTCAGGGGAGGGGAATTCAGATCTTGGCATCCCCCATGTTCGTGCTGAAGGGTGCTGTACTAATAAAGAGTCTTTAAGGCAAACAATGCCTCCAGGTTCTTTGAAGTATCCCCTTAATCTGAACCATGACACATGGATTGGGAAAACTAAATAGCAATGGCCTGCTTCTTTTGATCAGATATGCCAAGCACAACATGTGCACCAGAAACATGATGTTCAGACTTGCAAACAAAATTACTTGAATGCATCCCAGGTCCGAACATATGTCAAGAACGTTAGCGTTGAAAGAAAAAAGTATGACAAGAAAGTAATGTTTACAGCGGCAAATTGTTGAAAAATTAAAAGGCTGCAGGTATAGATGATGTAATTGGAGAAAGGTTAAAATGGGGCTGTGGTTTGTTCATGGCTGTGTGCCTTGTTTAACATGCTTAGGGACATGGCATCCATGCCACCTTGGATTGAGAAGATGTCATGATTCTTCCCTGAACGAAAGGAAAGGTAATTAGACTGGGGTGGGGTGGGGGGTTAGTTTGTTAAATGGGAAAATATTTGATAGAATTTTGATTGAAAGGGTGTAAATGGTGAGCAAATTTTGGGAAGGGCACTGCACCTTTGTGCCATGGGATTGTACAGACCAGATTCTTTGTGTCACTGAGATAGGTATAAATACGAGAAAGAAATTTATTGTATGTTTGTTGAAACTTATGATAAAGAGAATAGGTGTCAATTCTGGAATGTTTTCTATGACTATGGAATTGAACAATGGTTGCTGAAGCTAGAACAGTAATTTATAATGGAAATAAAGCATTTGCTTCATTTATCATTTATATATTACTGACATTTCTATGTTGTTCCACTCTAAATATGCATTGAGCAAGCATGAGAAAGAAAACCTCACTACGGATTTCAACACTGAAGAGGAGCATCACATGAATAGGTGAGGCATCCTAGTTTGTTTCATATATTTACAGATAGATAAATGCAGTGACATTAGAGATATGCTGTTTGGGGACATTAACATGCATGTACATTTGTATGTAGATAATGCTGTGTTGTCGGCGGAGAACATAAATGATTTGCAGCAAATAGGTGATTGTATCAAGGAGTACTCCTTATATAAAATGCATCTTTGTTGGCCCTCACTGCAAATATGCTATTGAAATTCAGCCATGCACTCTGGGGGCTAAATCACAGCTAACAACAACAACAAAAGCCCAGTGCGTTTCTATGCAGGAAGAATCAACATCACAGAAACAATATTTATTTTTAATAGCCCAGGATACCCTGGAAAAAGGAGCATTATACTTTAGATCCAGTGGTTGGCTTTTGTACATTTCGTGATTTTTCCCGCCTAGTATGTATTTTCCTAGTTAAAATGCAGCACGGCAAAAGCATATTCCCACTTTGTCTCCATATTCCAAAGGGAAGTTTGAATTACAGCAGTCCTTGGAATTAAGAATGTCTAACTTAGAGACAACTTGTACTTACAAATGGGCTGCCTACTGTTAAAAATGCCTCGAACCGAAAGACCACTGAAACATGCCTTGCTTTCATGAATCTCTGAAGCTGCATGTTTTTAATACAGGTAGCCCTTGATTTACAATTACAATTGAGGCCAAAAGTTCTATCCTAAGCAAGACATCTGTTAAGTGAGTTTTGCCCATTTTACGATTTTTTTTTTCTTTTGCCACACACTTGGGTTTGGCTAGTCTAAAGAAAAGAAGAAATGGGGGAGACATGATAGCACTGTTTCAGTATCTGGGGGGCTGCCACAAGGCAGAGGGGGTCAGGTTGTTCACCAGAGCACCAGAGAGAAGGACAAGAAACAATGGATGGAAACTGATCAAGGAGAGAAGCAACCTGGATTTAAGAAGAAACTTCCTGACTGGTAGAACAATCAACCAGTGGAACAGCTTGCCCCCAGAAATCGTGGGTGCCCCATCACTGGAGATCTTTAAGAAGAGACTAGCAATCACCTGTCTGAGATGGTGTAGGTTCTCCTGATTAAACGGGGGGCTGGATAGAAGACCTCCAAGGTCCCTTCCAGCTCTATTCTATTATTATGATTATGGATCATTGCACAGTCAGCCAGATGTTCAGACTGGATTTGGCATTTTGTCTACCAATCGAGTCCTTACCCAGGACCTGGGATAGGCAGATGTGGATGTTTGATGCTATTACAGATATTGTCGCAGGATGGAAGCAGTTCCTAGTAAGGCCGCCTTTTGCAATTGACTAATAGCGAATTTGTCAATGCCGATGGTGTTCAAGTGGTGCTCCAGTTGTTTTGGGATTGCACCCAAGGAGCCTATGACTATTGGTACTACCCTTGCTTGCTTTTGCCACAGTCTTTCTATTTCTATTTGTAGGTCTTTGTATTTTGTTATCTTCTCCAGTTCTTTCTCGTCTATTCTATTCTGCTGTCTCCTATTATTATTATTATTATTATTATTATTATTATTATTATTATTATTGCAGTTCTTAAGTTAGTAACATGGTTATTAAGTGAATCTGGCTTCCTTACTGACTTTGCTTGTCAGAGGGTCACAAAAGGTGATCACATGACCTTGGGACATTGCAACTGTCGTAACTATGAGTCACTTGCCCAGCTTCTGAATTTTGGTTACATGACCGTGGGGATGCTGCAATGGTTGTTGGTGTGAAAAAGGCCATAAGTCACTTTTTTCAGTGCCATTGTAACTTTGAACAGTGGTTAAACGAACGGTTGCAAATCGAGGACTATCTGAATATAGCTTGTTTTCAGTGGTTCATGAAAACATTGATTTGCTTTAATATCTTGTCTGCTGAAAAAAGGCGAATGCCATCTGCCATTTTTAGTAATAGGCAGTCCCCGTTCACAAGTTCTGGCTTACATAAAATTCAACTAATCAAGGAGAGAAGCAACCTAGAACTAAGGAGAAACTTCCTGACAGTTAGAAAAATTAATCAGTGAAACAGCCTGCCTCCAGAGGTGGTGAATGCTTCAACACTGGAAGTTTTTAAGAAGAGACTGGACAGCCATTTGTCTGAAATGGTGTAGGGTTTCCTGCCTGAGCAGGGGGTTGGACTAGATGACCTCCAAGATCCCTCCCAACTTTATTATTATTATTATTATGGATCATTGCACAGTCAGCCAGATGTTCAGACTGGATTTGGCATTTTGTCTACCTATTGAGTCCTTACCAAGGACCTGGGGTAGGCAGATGTGGATGTTTGATGGTATTACAGATATCGTCGCAGGATGGAAGCAGTTCCTAGTGAGGCCGCCTTTTGCAATTGACTAATGGTGAATTTGTCAATGCCAATGGTGTTCAAGTGGTGCTCCAGTTATTATTATTATTATGGATCATCGCACAGTCAGCCAGATGTTCAGACTGGATTTGGCATTTTGTCTACCTATCGAGTCCTTACCCAGGACCTGGGATAGGCAGATGTGGATGTTTGATGGTATTACAGGTATCGTCGCAGGATGGAAGCAGTTCCTAATAAGCAGTTCCTATTATTATTATTATTATTATTATTATTATTATTATTATTATTATTATCATCATCATCATCATCATCATCATCATCATCATCATTATCACCATCATCATCATCTTTAGGGCATATCTAGGGACAGATCTTGTTTTTAACCTGGGGACTGTCAGTGATCGATGGAGGAGCTGGAAATGAGCAGAGAAAAATTAGAATAAATTTCTCCCAACCTGATGATCTGTAGACACTGTGAATTATAACTGCCAGAAATTCCAGCACTCCTGGGAGATGAATGGAGTTTGGATCTCCTATTTCATATGACATCAAATAAAATGATAATAGAGAAGTGCATTATATCATGTAATATTTTAAGCCAATGTGGAACTTTTTGATTAAGGAAGCACGGTTTGGGTGTGTAATTGGCTTTCCACGTCTTTCAGAATCATTCTTCATTCCCTCCCCCCGATACTGGTAGACCTTTACTTGCAACTGTTCATTTAATGACCATTTGAAGTTACAATGGCACTGAAAAAGGGGACTTATGACCATATTTCACACTTACAACCATTGCAGCATCCCTATGGTCACATGATCAAAATTCGGATGCTTGGCAACTGGTCCATATTTATGACGATTCTAGTGTCCTGGGATCATCTTCTGACGAGCAAAGTCAGTGGGGAAGCCAGATTCACTTAATAGCCCTGTGACCAGCTTACCGACTGCAGGGTTTCACTTAACAACGCTGGCAAGAAAATGGGGCAAAACTCACTCAACAAATGTCTCACTTAGCAACAGAAAATATGGGCTCAATTGCACTTGTAAATCGAGGACTATCTCTAATTACTATAGAAATTCTTATCTGTTCATGATGGTACCCTGGAGAGATTCGGGAAAGGAAAAGCAATAGGATAGAATGCCCTCTCCTATCATTCCTGGTTACCAATAATGCCATTGTTATAAATTGTCAGTCATTTTGTGATGGCTCTTTTACAATTTTAGCTCAAAGAAGAGTCAGCATGTCAAACTTGCTGCACAAGGAGCCCAGCACATGCCTAACGCAGTGTGGACGCCACGTACCTTCTCTCATCATGCCTGTATGACGTGGAGGTCCGGCCACTGGTCCAAATGAACATCTTAGAGGATTGGTCTCCACTGCCTCTCCTTACCGTTGAGGTCCTGGAGGAAAGATGGCAGGGCCTAGGAGAAAATGGAGAAACTTCATTACTGTACGCTGAAAACCTGCTGGGCCACATCCAAGTGCCAAATTTGATTGCCTTGCAGGTTCTGCTCCACAGAGAGTGTCTTTCAGATGATTCCAGGTGATATGCAAAACAAGACAATGACCTTTCTCTTCCCTTCCATGAGGTTCGGTTGACATTAAATTATTTCCTGCTCGTTTTTCTTAATTTCTTTTTCCTCTTGTTTCCCTCTCTCTTTCTGTTGGAGCTAAGAAAATCTCACTGTGCTGCCTTCTAAAATGTGTGGGTTCTTTCTTCAAAGCAAGTCTGCTCATAATTAACTAAGTTTCCTATCCATCTCTAGTCATCTTCTCTCCCTGATGGCTCTTGATATGAACCTTTCTTTGGCCATTTGCTTTCGCATCCATGAGATATCCAACAACGATGATGGGTTGAAGCTGTATGAACTCATCTCTAATCAAACTGGCAGTTAAATTAAAATAGAGGTGAAAGTCCACCTGCCAGGTAGATTTCTGACTGATGTTTCTGCAGCTGTTTCTCTCTGCGTGTGTGCGTGCGTGTGTGATTGAGTGTGACATGGATCCCATAGCAACTTGATCTGTGACACCATGGCTACCAAAGAGATTTGTTGACATTAGGTAAATGCTTTTTCCCCCTTTTCAGTTATTCCCCAACTTAGCCTTCCTCAATTTACCATATTCTAGATGTGCTAGACCAGTGGTTCTCAACCTTTTTAATGCCGCGACCCCCAACCGGTCATAAGTCGAGGACTACCCCTCAACCAGTCATAAGTCGAGGACTACTCAACTGGTACAGCACCGTTTGCAGAATGGGACTTTTGGCGGGCTCAGCAGGGCAGAGACAGCCTGGACAATTCCTATTGGCTTTTGAAAGCCAATAGAATTAGACTCTATTCAGAGAGTCTATTCTATTGGCTTTCAAAAGCCAATAGAATAAAAGGGAGTAGCACAGCTAAGGAAAAGGGGGAAAAAATGGCGGACTGCGTTGTTTGGCGACCCCTGTGAAATGGTCGTTCGATCCCAAATGGGGTCCCGACCCACAGGTTGAGAACCACTGTGCTGGACTGTATTTATTTATTTATTTGAGTGGCACGGTAGCCTAGTGGTGAAGACGCTTGCCTCCCACTTGGAAAGTTGAGAGTTCAATCCTCGGTAGCTGCGTATGTTTCTTTCCTAGGGGACAAAGAAAAAATATCTGCTGTGAACTCTCTGGGGTGCCAGGAAGAGCATTCAGCCAGTCAATGCTTAGCTCCATCCAGTCACCCTGACTCTATCCCAAATTAAGGCATTACAGGGTCATAAAAAGGGAGGCCCTCTTTCACTCCATTCCTTACTGTTGACACTGTCTTCCTTTCCTTGCCTTCCTGCAAACTCTCACAAAAAAAGGCTATCCTTTAAAGTTCAGTGCAGTTTTTTTGGTACCCTTTCATCTGCTTAATTTTAAGCTAAAAATATCTGAGAGTGATAGGAGGGTCAGCTCTGCCATGCAGTTGGATGAAGCAATTTGTATTAAGCATTTGTCTGAGAGGGTGAGAGACGAATGCAAGAATTTATGCCTGAGACGCAAACCTTCTTAAATGAGTGGAGCGGAGAGGACAAGCCAGAGGAACAGATGCCTTCAGCTTCATTGCGTCTGGCCTTGGGCCGAATTTCAAAAGTCTGCTGCTATAGATAAGTTCAAAAAGAAACGCCTTTTCTCTTAGCAGAATACTGAGAATGGGTGTCAGCTGCCCCGTTACACTTGCTTGTGCTTTGCTACTATGCAGTGACAGTCTGAGATGAACTCTGAGGGGGGGGGATACTTGGAGGAAAACAAAAATAACTGCTGTATCTCCCTCAGATGCTGCCTCAAGGTCATTCGGCTGGGAGAAGAAGGCAGCATACACATCTACTCTTGAATTGACCTTTCTGAAAATGAACCTGATTGGTCCCTGGGGGTGGGGTCAGTGATGGGAGGCAGTTAAGGGAGGGAAAAGTTGAACTGAAGAGATTTTGGTGTGCAGTTCTCAGTTCTGACTATGCATGACCGCAATACACTTAATTTCTAATAAAAAAATATACCTTTCTCAACAAATGGAGCCAAGGATTGTTTCTAATTAAAGGTTTATTTTATTTTATTTATTTATTTATGAGACTTATATACCGCTTTAAGTGCAAGCACTGTCTAAGCGATGTACACCAGTAAGCAATGTATATATATATTTACATTGCCCCCAACAATCTGAGTCCTCATTTTACCTACCCCAGAAGGATGGAAGGCTGAGTCAACCTTGAGCCGGTGAGATTTGAACCGCTGACCTGCTGAACAGTCAGCTAAAGTGGCCTGCAGTACTGCACTCTAACTGCTGCGCCACCTCAGCTCTTTTTAAGGTTTAAGTTATGGCAGGCCTGCAATGGGTATGTAATAGGTACATATAAAGGATAAGGAGTATTTCTGCCACTATTCTTTCTGACCCAGCCCCAGTAGCTCACAACAGATGAACATCAGTATAAGTAAGCAGTATGTTATAGCTGCCCCAAACCCAATGCAGTTCTAGGTTGCATCAATAGAGGGATACTATCAAGATCACAGGAAGTGATAGTATCATTGAATACTGCACTAGTGAGGCCAGCCTTGGATATTGCATCCAGTTCTGGCCATCACAATATAAGATGTTGAGATCCTAGAAAGAGTGCAGAGAAAAACAATAAAGATGATAAGGGGTTTGGAGGCTAAATCAATGAATAGCTATGGGAACTCGGTATATTTAGCCTAATGAGAATTAGGCGTACGGGAGACTAGATAGCCATCTTCCAATACTTAAAGGGATATCACAAGGAAGAGGGAGTCAATTTATTCTCCAGAGCACTCAAGGGCAGAATAAGAAGCAGTGGGCAGAACTTTGTCAGAGGACATCCAACGTGGAACTAAGGAGGAATTTTCTGACAGCGAGAATGATTAATTAATGGAATAGTTTGCCTCCTGGAGCTGTGGGTGCTCCATCCGTGGAGGTTTTCAAGAAAAGATTGGACAACCATTTCTCCAGGATAGTATAAGGACTCCTGCCTTGGTCGGGTGGGGGTTGGACTAGAAGACCTCCAAGGTCCCTTCCAGCCCTATGATTCTACAAACTCAGAAACAGCTCAGGATAGCAGCTCCTCAACTCCTCAACTTTGGCCACATCCAAAGGATGTCTTTCAAGGAGCTGTCATTCAAGTGAGCCAATGGACAACAATACAATAACAGAGTTGGAAGAGGTCATCTAGTCCAACCCCCTGCTCAAGCAGGAGACCCTATACCATTTCTGACATGTCAGTCTCTTCTTGAAAGCTTCCAGTGATGAAGCACTCAGAACTTCTGAAGGCAAGCTGTTCCATTGGTTGATTGTTCTGTCAGGAAATTCCTCCTTAGATCTAGGTTGCTTCTCTCCTTGACTAGTTTCCATCCATTGCTTCTTTTTCTGCCTTCAGGTGCTTTGGAAAATAAGTTGACCCCTCTCCTTCTTTGTGGCAGCCCATCAGATATTGGAACACTGCCATATTCGGGTCTCTTTTATTTCTGGTTGAAAATCCTTGAAGCATCATCAGAACATATGAGTATATGGAGTGTATGGAACATTACTAAATATAGGATAGAGCTTGTCAGCTCTGTTTTGAGCACCAAGGATTGTATCAGACCTTTCAATGGCATCTAGCCCTCTCCCCCAAATAAATTGATGAAATATTGTGAGAGTTTAATATGCTCTTCATAAGCACATTGTCTGCAAAAATATTGAAATTCTGTGTGCTACTATGCAAAAACAGTATTAACGAGTTCTTTGATGATATCCATGACCAAGTCAGTATCTTGGTATCAGAACAGGTTTCCAAGTTCTGATGTATAAAGGACCAAAGATCTACATCCAGTAGTGGGATTCAGCTGGTTCGCACCACTTCGACAGAACCGGTAGCTAATTTTTCGTTGCCCAGGCCCAGAATGGGCTTCTGGAAATGGCATCCACACAGAGAACCTTTTGTTCACATATTTGAATCCCACCACTGTCTACATCTAATCAAAGACATTATGTAGGCATTAAATCAATATATGGTACAAATTTAGCTGTAAAATTCTTTGCCAGTTTGTGGATTTATATTTTCTGAAAAAATATTCTCAATATTTACATAAGAATGCATTTAAACCCTAGCATGCTGATCTTCTCTTCTGCTTCTTCAGAATCAAATTAAGGTTGGGTAACCTGACACATTTATTTGTATAAATAATATAATGTAGATAAGTTTTTTTTAAAGCTCTATATTCCTGGGTCCGAAGCTTCTATCTAAGTATCTCTCTGCATCAACAGGATCTTTTTAATTTAATTAAAAGAAAGCGATACCAGAGGCTGAAAGGGAAGGAACATTTAAAAAAATGCTTTCCTGCCTCTTCCAAATGGATATTATTTGAAGGAAACAAATGCACATACGTGGTGAATATGCCTATTGAATGTCTTTAGCCTCCAAATTGTGAAATTTGTAGCCTATTAGATCCCCCCCCCCCGCTTTGAGTGCTTGGAAACTAGAGTTAGGAACATTTACAGATTTGTTGATAGTGTAGGTTTTGTAATATCTAATTTGGTTTTTTTCTTTTCCAAATAAGCAGGCTGGAACAGAAACAATAGATAGCAAAATAGCACTCCTTTGAAATCTTGTTTCTGCATGCCCAGCAATTTAATTTAATGTAATGATTTATATGGCCATTCATTTCACAACAGTGACTTTTTATTTCGTTTAGGCACCATCCCATTGTAGATGGACTCTGGACAGAAAAAACAGAAAAAAATAACAAGATGGTAACTTTGGCTAACCACTCATCAAATGTATCCGACAAGGATCCCATTCATCTTAGCTCAAGTCTTCAGCGGTTTCCAGAATGCCATCCATGTGGGAACTTTGAGGATCTTAGATGGAACCTAAGCAAGAAGTCTTTGCCATGCTATTTATTTGTTTGTTTAATGCAGCGGTT